TATATGAAAATTGGAGTTTAATTTTAAGTTAGTATATAGTCTTCTTGAATATGAATTAGAGAGATTGTGGTCTTGTGAGAGGTTTTTATAGAGGTGAAAGGAGATTGGTGCTTGATGATTGGTTAGAGCCTATGGGAGAGTATAGATTATATATAGATTTGGCAATCTTTTCACTCTTGAAATCAATTTCCTAACAACTAGCTTGTGCGATATTGGTGATATATATTGAATAATTTTATAATTATAGTAAAAACATTATGTAGTAACACACATTCATACGAGTGTGTATTAATTCAGAGACTCAAGTTTGTTTACATCAGTAGAGTGAAATTCACAGTATTTTGAATAGTATTTATTACTAATTTTTGAAATTATATTCATCAGGAATTGAACATATGTGCTTGAATTATTCTTAAAATACTATAGGAATATGGGCAAAACAGGGCCAAGCTATGTTTTGGAATAAAATTAAAAAAGTATCTATGTTTTTAAAAGATAAATGAAGTTATCTTTAATTAGATATCAAACAAACTGCAAAATAATATTATCTTTTAAATAAAGAAATAAATGTTTCGAGTCTACAAATAATATTTTACCATTGAACTCGGCGTCTCATTAATTAATCTGAATGCAAAGGTGCCCCTCACTAGGACTAAATACACTTAAATTAATGTAATGATTATAGGGCGGTTCCAGTTTTTTACTGCTCGAGCCATAAAATTGTTTTGAACGTAGAGAAATTATGGTACTATTTCATAGCCTATAAATTAAATTAAAGTAGTGAACTCAATATATTCCAACATAGTTGTTGGCAACTTTTTATTAGATCCTTTTGTATTTATTTTATTATTTACCCTTTATGGTTCATTATAGTCCGTAGCTAATAAGTGAATGAAGTTTGTCCAAAACACGTATCAATAGAGTTTAGATATCAATAGATGCAAAACATAAATTCACAAAATATAATTCACATAATGTAATATATATAATATAGTATTATTTTGATGGTTTAATTTATATTTATTAACAGTGCCCCATCATGAAAACAAATTAGTTATATATCAGCACACTTCAGTACCACTAGTATTTGACTATGTGCATTTGCACAGATATAAATAAAATTAAATATTATAAGTTATATTTATGTATATAATATAAAAATTATAAGTTATATAATTGTTATATTTCAAACATATAGTATTATAAGTTATATTTATGTATATAATATTAAAATTATAAATTATATAATAGTATTATATTTTTAAATTTGATCATTGGTTAAAATAAATAGTACACACGATTTGATTGTATACGAATCACTATATTGATTGCATAAAATGTAACAAATATATACTTTTTATAATTTTGAGTGATCATGACCAATTAATTAGCTGAAAAATATTACATTTATTATAACAATTGCTTATGTGATTTTAAGAAATTTTACTATGACATAAAAAAATTAATTTATTAATAAACAACATCTTCATCATATAAAAAAATATTGATTTTAGTGTAAAATATAATTTTATGTAACTTTCATATATTTTTTAGTATAGAATATAATTACTAATTTTAATAAAATAAAAAATATAATTATTAATCAATTAACATAAAATATAATGAATTTTGTCTTAATTAACCCAAAAAAATATAATGAAATGTTTTCTTATTAATGAGATTGGGTGTATTAATGCCACATAAATAAAATTTATTAGGTTTTATTAATGATTTGACACATAGATAAAATTTATTAGGTTTTATTTATTAGGTAAAATTTATTACTTAGCCAGCAATTATATATATATATATATATATAGATTCATGTATTATAACAAGTCTTTTTAAAAGAGATTTTATCAAATTGACCTCCACATAATTTTTTGGATTACTTGGAGACTATAATTGGTAAACGAAGCCAGCTGGCGAGCTCAAGATCGTCTAGAAAAAAGTAGGTAAAATTCAAAATTCGTTTAGTTAATGTTAGAAAATAAAATCTTTTATTTAATTTTCTACAAAGTTGAGCACCAATTTATTTATTGGGCCATTTTTGTTGGGCCGACTCGTTTATATTTGGAGACCGTGCTTGATTCATGCATGGTTTGGGTCCAAAAAGAACCGACCCATAAGATAAAGGTTAATACGGGAATTTCAAATAAATAACGAAGGTCCGACGCCACGAAATTTCGATTTTTTTTGTAATTTTTTGTATTTGTTGCTTAGCCATTAATCAACCAAAATTCAAAATCCAACCTACCGAAGAAAAATTCAACCCCTCTGAACAAATTTCATCGAATTGCAGGCGAGAGTCTTGAATTCCTCGAAACATGTGGGCCCACCCGTACCGGAAAGATGACGTGGAGTCCGCCCGGCAGCCGCTGTACCCGATGATGCTCGAGAGCCCCGAGCTCCGGTGGTCTTTCATCCGCAAAATATACTCGATCGTCAGTGTTCAGCTGCTTCTCACCATCGCCATCGCTGCTATTGTGGTCACCGTCGAACCGATTTCGCATTTCTTCTCCGCCACTAGGGCTGGTTTGGTGATCAACATTATTCTGATCATCACCCCTTTTATCGGTAGGGTTTTTTTTTTGCCCCTTTTCCCCAATTTTTGTTGAATTGATTGAATGGGACTTGTGGATTTTGATTCTCTTGTTTTTTTTTTGTTGGATTGTAGTTCTGTGCCCGCTGTATTCCTACTATCAGAAGCATCCCTTGAATTATATCCTCCTTGGGGTGTTCACTGTGTCGCTTGCGTTTGCTGTGGGGTTGACTTGTTCGTACACCAGTGGTGAGCATTTGCTATTTCTTCTTAAGTTTTCCTTGGATGTAATTGCTAGTTCAGTTGTAATGTCTTCAAGGGGTTCATAATTCGTAGGGTTAAGCATGTGTATTTGTTGAAGCTTAGTATCATCTTTGAATCAAGTATGCTAATGTTACTTCAAGTTCATGTGATCATCTTTCAGTCCATATCCCTATGGTAATATTAGTGGGGTGGGCTTCCTGCATAAATCCGGCTGTGAAGGTGTAGTATAATTTGTTTGTGATGTTGACTTATATCGTTATACAAGCTATTTGATGCGAATACGAGTGGTTATTAAGTAAAACTATTGACTAGAAGTTGCTGGCCCTTTACCAAAGGTGAAGTATTATTCATACAGCTTGTTTCATCAGCTGATTACTGAGTTGCCGAAAGTTCTCGAGAGTTCAATGCATATTATAAGCAATTTTATTTATTTATTTATTTTTTTTATCCGGGGGGGTTGATAAATGGAATAAAGTGACTGTAATAAGAAGTAGATAGCAGTGAACAATAAAGTAATCGATAAATTACTCCATCTCTGACATCTAATGTATACATGAGAAATTTCCTCTTATGATTGAAACTGACCTTTTAAAACGTTCGTATGATTTTAATACAGGGAAAATTATTCTTGAGGCAGTTATCTTAACTGCTGTCGTTGTAGTCAGTCTCACTTTATACACATTTTGGGCCGCCAAGAGAGGTCATGATTTCAATTTCTTGGGACCTTTCCTGTTTGGAGCTATTATCGTACTCATGCTGTTTGGAGTGATTCAGGTTTGTGAATTCCAGTTTGAACTTATTTTCGTAATGTTGACATGACTCTTGAATTTAGCCAAGATAGATCAATATTATATTGAGCCAGAGATGAAATGTCCCATAAATAAATTAAAATATATATATATATTAACGAATTGGTCTGTCAACTATTGTTGTGTCAAGGGCTTCTATTTGATATATGATTCATTTGATCATATAATATTCAGTTAGGTTGGTAAATAAGGCCAATTATGTCAGTATTTCGTATTTTCAAAAACGAAGTAAAAAATTGGAGTTCCTTTAATTAGGCGGGAACCCACTCGTGATGGTTCTTGCGATTATACCACATATGTTTTGGTTATTGAATGCTGATTGAAACAAATCAAATCAAATCAAATTGCGCAGATATTTTTCCCATTGGGCAAGATCAGCTCGATGATCTATGGTTGCCTTGCGTCCATCATATTCTGCGGGTACATCATTTACGACACTGATAATCTTATCAAGCGGTATACGTACGATGAGTATATCTGGGCTGCTGTTGCCTTGTATTTAGACATCATCAATTTGTTTTTGGCATTGTTGGAAATATTCAGAGCTGCTGATTCGTAGGATGTGTAGTAATAATGTGCTGACATTTTGTTATTTATTACTCGTTTATTCTTGATATAAATGTGTCAGTTCCTGGATTGTAAAAGGGTTGAACGACATGGAAGGACACTTTTAGTTGTAAGTTGTGCTGAATTTGTGATTCTATGGATTAATAAATGACAATGTTTATATTTATACAGTTATACTGAATATTGATTTGGTGTTGTATAGTATCTGCTAAAAGGTTCAATTATAGAGAAGATTGGTCCCTCTAGTTAATGGACTTAGGCTATGGATGGTAAAACTAGTTGATAAGCTAGCTATATAGTTGATAAACTAGCTTATCGGTTAATTTTCAACGAGCTTATTTGAAAAGTTATTTAAAGAAACTTATGAGATAAGTTCAAACTTTTTAAAAATAACTCGTCTTGCTAAACAGAATTTATTTTATATAACCAAATAAATTATAAAATAACTTATATGCTTATCAAATACTGCTTTAAAACCTATAAGTTGACTTATCAAGTAGATTTAGCAATGATAGCATATTGAGTTGAAATATTTAATTATAAAAAGCACCCCACCAATCATACTCATCCCTTTTTTTTCAGGCATTGACAAGATTCCATGATATCAGCACCCTATATTGTAAGATGGAATCTCAAATAAAAAAAAAGGAAAAAAATTACAAAATTGGAATTCAAAAAAGAATGTAACAGAAAAACGTTCCAGAAGCTAGTGACATCTTGGGGATTCCCATAAGATTGTTCCAGAACTTTCCAATTATAGAAGGGCAAGGAACACTCACCCTCAAGCCTCCTTTTACTCTCCACTACCAAAATAATCAAGTATGGACAAAAAAATATATAAAACCAGCAAAACTATACAAAACCAGCACCCATAAATCAATAAAATACTGACAGTGGTTCCAATTCCAACTGCCTAGTACCAACTTGCCTAATATAATAATACAGAAAAACTCTAGAACTTTCCAGTGCACACATCAATTTCTCATTAACATCAACAATAAATATAAATCCACTCAACTCTGTTTTATCCAAACCTCACTCAAACTCCTTCCTTGTAGTAGTAGAAATTTCACCATTATAATCATGTTCTTCAAAGACCTTCCCAAAACAAATAGCTCTTACCTTTTTTGCTCACATTCTTGCAATAATGCACATTAGTTTGTCTTTCTAGCTACCAAACAAAGCCTGAATTTTTTTTTTTTCGATTTCATCAAAATTCGCCTAATGAATCCCGATATTCCGATCAAAGAGGAATGCCCGGGAGGTTCGTCGGGTGGCGACCAGCTGGCAGAACTACCGAGGCCGATGGAAGGGCTGCACGAGGTGGGCCCGCCGCCTTTTTTAACGAAGACTTTCGAGATGGTTGATGATTTTAGGACAGGGCAGATTGTGTCTTGGAGCAATGGAGGATATAGCTTTGTGGTTTGGGATCCTCATGCCTTTGCTAGCAATATATTGCCCACATACTTCAAGCATCACAATTTCTCCAGCTTTGTTAGGCAGCTCAATACCTATGTAAGTGTGTT